CTCCATCCGCCCAAGCTTTGGGAAGGACAAATCCTGATGGGGGGAAAACAAGGGCTGACTGCGTTGGTTTGGGGGTTCCTCCTGCCCAAGTCCATCTCTAGAACTCACCGGGCATCCTGTGTCCATAAAAACCTCCAAAACACCATGATTCAGCTCAGAAAAAAACAAACTACTGGGATTCAGGCAAAAACCCTCTCAGAAATAGCAAGAAGACCCTCACCCCCCAAAACTGCAAAAAGTTGAGATTCAACTAAAAAATATACTCCAAAATATGAAGATTAGCCCCAAAAAATTCTCCCAGAAATCCCTCATCTCTATTCTCTCTCCTCTGGGGTTTGGAGGATCTCTCCTGTCTGGGATGCTGGGGGTCCCACTTATGGATGCTGGGAGTGTTGAGGGTCCCAAAGTTCCCTTCTCCTCTGACTCTCGCCTTCTGTGTGCCGCATTCCCAGACATTCCCCCTCTCCAGGTTCTCCACTTGGTTGTCCCGAGGATCCCAGGGGTCCCCACTGTCCAGCTTACCCTTCTCCGTGCCCCCCATTTCAGGCTCCTGGGAGTCTTGGTGCTCCTCCCTCTCCGTGCTCCCCCCTCCAGGTTGCCGGGGGTCCCCCAGTTCTGGCATCTCCCCGCTCTGGCCTCCACACTCGGCAACTCCCAGGCTCCACACCCACCCCTGGCACTCCCAGGGGGCCCCAAACCCACTGTGTTCCCCCCACCGGCACCGGGCTGACAATGGAGCCGGCGGGGCCTGACCCAGCAACACCAACACCCACCATGGGGGAGGACCCACATCCCCCCACCCACTGCCGGGGCTCTGCCACCAACCCAGCCCGGCACCCCCAAAAACACCTCCTGCCCACCCCAAAGAGTCACAAAGGGCACAGCCCTGCACAAGGGTCGGCTGTGCCCAGGGCAACCAAACAGCCCCACAGGTCAGGGGACACCAGAGGCTGCCCCAGGGAAACGAGAGCAGGGAGTGGATCGGGCCCCCTGACACATGGGCGGGCTCTGGCTTCTGACCTAGGGTAGTTTGGCACCAACAGCACGGCCCCAAACGCTGGCTTGGCACAGGGGGCCCGAGCTTCCCCCTCTCTCTAGCCTCCTTCACTCTCCAGGGAGCAAAGCAATTGTCTCTGTCCCTTGGCTCTCTCTCTGCCAGCTCAGTGTGGGGCACACGGGTTGGGGGTCCCTCCCATGCCCCCCGGGCAGCCGGCGTTGGCTGGGGGGATGTGAGGGCTGGGCCTGCTCAGCACAGCCCCGGCCTCGTGCCCAGCGCCTCTTTCCTGACCCACACAAGACCTTCCCGGCCCCCCCAGGGCTCCCCTGCTGCTGCCTCTGCTCCTGGCCCTGCCTTTGCTGCTCCCTTGGCTGGGGCAGCGGCTGCAGGGGGGGATGGCAGCAGCTTCAGCTCCACGGCACTTCCTGGGGGAGCTCAGCCCGGGGGGGACGGGCAGGGACCTGATGGGGATGGACAGGGGCCCAGCAGGGACAGCCAGGGCCTGCAGGGGAAGGCACAGGGACAACCTGGCCCCCCACACTGACACCGCTGTCTCTGCTCCTCCTTGCAGGCTTCGTGGCCAGGCACAGTTTGTGTTCCTGGGTGCCACCATCTCAGCACTTGCAGCCGCTCAAATCAGCGCCCGCAGCTCTGCAGCAAAGCCCCAGCTCACCTGGCACACAGGGGATGGACACAGCACCTTCTCGGGGATGGGCACTCACAGTTTTGTCCTCTTCCCCACCACGGGGCTCTCCTTCCTCAGCAGCACCTCTGCCTTGCACTTATTCTCAGCCTCACCTCAGGGACAGCTCTGGCCTCACCTCCGCGCCACTTCTCAGCCTCACCTCAGGGCCTGGGCTCAAGGACAGGAACCTGCAGGGAGGGGACATCATGTGCAAGCTGAGGGCTGCCTGCTTGCACTGGCCTATGGGCTTCTTTCTCCTTCTACAACCAGCCCAGAACATAGCCTGCTTTTCTAACACCACACATTTACAGACTAACTCTGGAGATAGATATGGACAGACATCTCTATCACCCTGGGGATGGAGCCTCAAGCATGTGCTGCCATAGGAATGGGAATCACAGAATCAGCTGGGTTGGAAAAGACCTCCAAGATCATCAACTCCAACCCTGGATCCAACCCTGCTATGCTTCCCAGACCATGGCACTGAGGCCACATCCACTCTCACCTTCAACACCTCCAGGGACACTGACTCCACCCCCTCCCTGCCCAGCCCATTCCAAGGCCTCATTACTCTCTCCACAAAAAACTGCTTCCCAATATCCAACCTAAACCTCCCCTGGCACAGCTCAAGACCCAGCCCTCTTGTCCTACTGCTGCTTCCTGGCACAACAGCCCCACCCCCACCTGGCTCCAACCTCCTGGCAGGGACTTACAGAGAGTCAGGAGGTCTCCCCTGAGCCTCCTCTTCTCCAGCCTCAACACCCCCAGCTCCCTCAGCCTCTCCTCACCCTACTTGTGCTCCACTCCCTTCCCCAGCCTCGCTGCTCTTCTCTGCACCTGCTCCAGCCCCTCCAGGGCCTTCCTCAACTCAGGGGCCAGAGCTGGACACAGCACTCCAGGGGTGGCCTCACCAGCGCTCACTCCAGCCCAACAATCCCTTCCCTGCTCCTGCTGACACACTCTTCCTCACACAGGTCCCTCTGTAGAGCCCTCCTGCCTTCAGCACATCAACACACCCCCCGGCTTGGTGTCAGCTGCACATTTGCTGATGAAATGCCTGGTTCTGCAGGAGCTGCAGATGCTCAAGGGGCAGCAGGACCAACTCAGGGGCCTGGGATGGCCTGGGGAGCTTTTGGGTCCAGAAGGGTCTTGGGGGAGCTGGGGAGGGGCTTTGAGGATTGGGGGTACAGACCAGTTCAGACCAGGACAGACCAGTACCTCCTCAGTGTTCCCCAGATCTCTCCTGGAGCTGGGCCACGTTGTCCTGGGACACCTGAACCCCTCCCAGTGCCCTCCCAGTACAACCCAGTGCCCCCAGTACAGCCCATTGTGTTCCTGTCCCAGGGTGCCGGGTGATCCCTCTTTAGGGGGGTTGGAAGGGATTTGACAGGGGGGCTGTGGGAGATCTGGGGGGATTTGGAGGGGTTGGATGGGGATTTGGGGGTTTTGAGAGGCATTGGGTGTATCTGGGAGAGTTAAAAGGGTCTTGGGGGCATTGGGGGGTCAAAGGTATCTGGAGGGGAGGGGACTAAAAGAAAAAAAGGGAGGTTGAGGGACATTTAGGGGAGGGTTAATGGGGCCTAGAGGGGGAGAGGACGGGCTTCCCTACAAGCAAGTGAGTCCTGAGACCCCCTTTGTGTCCTCAAGACTCTTTTGGTGTTTCCAATTCCCCCCTTGGCACCCCCAATTTCACTGTCCCAAATCCCTCCCCACTGTCCTCAAACCCCATCCCTGATCTCCCCAACCCTCCATCTCACCCCAGGAGCCCCCCTGGACCCTCTGAACGAAAACACTCCCCCCCACACACACTCACAGACAGGCCAAGGGCATCTGGGGACATGTTGGGGACAGTTGGGGGGTTTTGGGGGGCACTGGGTGATTACTGGGGGATACTGGGACACACTGGGGGGAACCAGGGGGCACTGGGAGGGACTGGGGGGTTACTGAGGGACACTGGGAGGGCACTGGGAAGGACTGGGGAGTTACTGGGAGATTACCAGGACACCCGAGGGGGACACTGGAAAGTTCCTGGGCCATACTGGGGGTTACTGGGTGCTCACTGCAGGATCACTGGGCCATACTGGGGGGCAGTGGGAAGTCACTGGGACACACTGGGTGGTCACTGAGGGGGTTACTGGGCCATACTGAGAGTCACTGGGAGGTCATTGGGATATACTGGGGGCACTGGGATCCCCTTACCCAGATGTGGTACGTCTCCCCCCCTGGGGGCTGGGGGAACCGCTGAACCCTACTGCTGGACTTTAGGGGACCCCCTAAAATCCCAGAAATCCCCCTCTTGACCCGTTGAAACCTCCTCGCGGTCCCCTCATATCCCCTCAGAGACCTCATCCCTCCCCAGCACCCCCTAAACCCTCTCAGTGACCTGCAAAACTCACCTGGGACCCCACAAGCCCATTCAGGGACCCCCCAGTCCCCCTCAGGGACCCTCAAAACCGTCTGGGACCCGTTAAACTCTCTAGAGACCCCAAAACTGCCGAAAACGTCCTCGCAAAACCCCCCAGGAACCTCAAACCTCCTCACAGACCCCCAAAGCCCACCTGGGACCCCCCAAATCTTCTCAGAAATCAAAACCCTCTCAGAGACCCCCAAACCTCTTCAGGGACCTTCAGCCTCCCCCCTGAGTCCCTTCAGGGACTCCTCAAAACGTCCCCGGAAATCCCCGAACCCCCCCGCTAAGCCCTCCCGAGCC